GAGGCTCCCTCGGTGGAAGCAGCAACAAACTGGGCGCGCCAGCTTTGCCGTCAGCGCCTGACAGCCGCCTCCGCTGTTACCGGGTCTAGCGAGGGACAATTCCAAAACGCCTTTTGCGCGGGCGGGCTCGGGGCATGCTGGGAAGTGTAGTTGCGGGGAAGTCACGTTCTGAACCCTAAATGGACACCGGGGCGGAGAGAAGCGTCGAAGGAAGCTGCCTGACTCCGTTGCGAAAAGAGGAGTTATGCAAATCTTAAGTTCTGTGTTCTCACAGCTTGCGCCTGTGCAGTTTCCGGCCGCCACTGCGCAGGAGAATTGCGGTTTATATATATATTTACTTTACCTTAATGCCAATGTTTAAATAATAATAGTAATAATATAGTAACAATAATACTTACATGCCGTCAAGGCAACTCAGAGTTATGGTGACCCCCTTGTAACGGTTTTATAGATAGAGGAAACACAGTAGTAGTTTGCCTTCCCTTCTTCTAGGGATGACCTGGGAATTCATCTTGCCTACACAGACTGGCTTTTCTCCCTGGAGGCTCAGTGGGGAATCGAACTGCCAGCCTCTGGTTACCCATTTCAACTGTGCTCTGAGAGCCCTGTCTTGAAAAATCATTTTATTTATTTATTTATTCAATTTATATGCCGCCCACACTACCCAGAGGTCTCTCATGAAAGAAAGGCTGGGGTATTTGCTTGATCAGTGGCTATGTGGAGTGCCAGTGGATATGCCAAAGTTGGAAATGACCTTAATTGGGGAAGGGATGTGTGTGAAAATACAAGTGCCTTGTTGAATAAAGCAGGATATCTAAGCCAAACTAGAAAGTGCACATAGTTATGCTGGCAAATGTGTCTGATTCTACTAATATATACACCTACCTTAACGTTGATCCACTGGCCATGAGGTTGACTCAACTTTAAATGAAAGTGTCTGGGCCCACCATTAGGCATGAAGAAGTTAAGGTCATCTTAGATAGCAGATGCTTGGGAGGACAAGTGCTGAGTCTCACTTTCTCACAAGTTGATCACTAAATCATCATCACTACCACACAGCTGTCCACATCCTCCTAAACCAATCCTTGAGTGCCTAAAACTAGACTAGACTGACCTCCTTACACACCTTCCATTCTCATCATAAACACCACTGAGGAGAACCTTTGACTGAGCAATCTGATGAAGATGTCAGTAGACCAGGCAACACACTCCAACAGGTATTGCGAAGGAGCTTGTGCTGGTCTGATGGCGATGCCACTGCAGTTTTGCAGCCTTTATTTGACTGGGAAGGAGGCAAGTGCGAGGTGGTGAGAGCACTCACTGATCCTTGCAGACCAAGAGCAGTGGAGAAATGGGTTGGAGCACACTGGGCTTCTGTCTTGAGCCCCTCAGCCTGCTCCCCTCATACATGGTGGATCACCATTCTTGAAGTAAGATTAAATACCATTCCAATCTGTTTCTAAAGATAACATGGAGGAGCAAGCCCTGTCTGCTCAGATCTGTCTCAATAAGCCTTGGCATCTAGTATAATCAGAGAAATGCTGAGGGGGGGGGGCTGCTTAAACACCACTAAAAATAAGGGCAATGATTTACAGAAAACGATTGATTGATTTGATTTGTACCCCACCCATCTGGTCTATACGACCACTTTAGGTGGCTTCCAGTGTAACATAAAACAATAAAACTACAGTATGTGCATTAATTTATATGCACTGATTTTTTAAAATTCTAACTACAATTCTTTAATTCATCACATCTCATCTGAATGAGGGTGACCTGTGTGTTTATTGATGAATGGTGAGTCTTCTGTCCAGGGGTAGACTGTGGATGGCAACCTCTTAATCTGTGTCCTTCATCTTAAAATTAGACTCAGACTAGCCTAACCTTCAAATGCAGGAGACCTTCATGAAGAGGATAGTCTTCAGACTGCCCTTCCTAAAACATGACATTAGGTCACCTGCGAATGATCAACCAGGTGACACTATGTTGTTTGTAGTTTTTTAGTCATTAAGTCATGTCCGACTCTTCGTGACCCCATGGACCAGAGCACGCCAGGCCTTCCTGTCTTCCAATGCCTCCCGGAGTTGGATCAAACTCATGTTGGTAGTTTTGATGACAGCCATCTTGTTCTCTGTCATCCCCTTCTCCTCTCTGTTGTCCCCTTCTCCTCTTGCCTTCACATTTTCCCAACATCAGGGTCTTTTCCAGGGAGTCTTCTCTTCTCATGAGATGGCCAAAGTATTGGAGCCTCAGCTTCAGGATTTGTCGTTCCAGGGAGCACTCAAGGTTGATTTCCTTCAGAACAGATAGGTTTGTTCTCCTTGCAGTCCAGGGGACTCTCAAAAATCTCCTCCAGCATCACAATTCAAAAGCATCAATTCTTTGGCGGTCAGCCTTTTTTATGGTCCAGCTCTCACTTCCATACATCACTACTGGAAAAACCATAGCTTTGACTATGTGGACCTTTGTTGGCAAGATGATGTCTCTGCTTTTTAAGATGCTGTCTAGGTTTCTCATCGCTTTCCTCATGGCGCAGTGGTTAAACTGCTGTACTGCAGCCAAAACTGTTCTCATGACCTGGGGTTCAATCCCAGGTAGCTGGCTCAAGGTCTATTCTTCTGAGGTCAGTAAATTGAGTACCCGGCTTGCTGGGGAGGCAATGTGTAGCCTGCATAATAAACTTGTAAACTGCCCAGAGCGTGCTTGAAGCACTATGGGGTGGTGTATAAACAGCACGCTTTGCTTTTGCTTTCCTCACAAGAAGCAGATGTCTTTTAATTTCTTGGCTGCTGTCAACATCTGCAGTGATCATGGAGCCCAAGAAAGTAAAATCTGTCACTGCCACCATATCTTCCCCTTCTACAGTGGTGCCTTGAAGTCAAAGCACCATATCCCATAGGAATGCGTTGAAATGCAATTAATCTGTTCCAGCCGAAGAAAAAAATCACCAAAAACCCCACCACCACTGCAAGACCCATCGGAAACGTGATTAATCTGTTGCGGCCGAAGGGAAAAAAGAAAAGCAAACAAACCGTGCAAGACCCATCAAAAATGCAAAAAAAGCAAAGCAGAAAGCAAACAAACCATGCAAGACTCTT